TTGGGAGACAGGTCATATTTGGAACGGATTAGCATAACTTCTGTTTTTTCATCGTTCAGCTGTAGTTTGTTATTGGTTATCCAATCTTTTATGTCAAGGAGACAATACTCAGTTGTGGAAATAGATGATGAGGTATTGGTTCTGGTGAATGATAGGTATAGTTGATTGTCATCGGCATATTGGTGGAAGCTTAGTTGATGTCGACGAATAATTTGATCAAGTGGTGAAATGTACAGTGAAAATAAGTACCGAGCCTTGGGGAACCCCATAATGAAGCTTAACTTGTTGTGATGAGTGATTGTTAATGACAGTAGATTGATGCCTGCCTGTTATGTATGATGAGAGCCATTTCCAGGCTAGATCTTGTATGCCCAGGTTGGCTAGTCGTGTCAGCAATATACGATGGTCGATAATATGAAAGGCCGCAGATAAGTCGAAACAGTATTAAAATGACATAATGGCCAGAGTCTAGAGAATAAGATGTCACTATGGACTTTGCCAAGTGCTGTCTCAGTACTTGGATACTTTTTGTAAGCCAATTGCAGTGGTTCTAGAAGAGCGTTCTTGGTGAGGTATTCGTTTAATCTGAGGGCTACAACTTTTTCAAGCACTTTGGAGATGAATGGTAAATTTGATATAGGTCTGTAGTTCTTGAGAATTTCCTGATCAAGTGATGGTTGTTTAAGTAGAGGTGTAACAACTGCTAACTTGAAAGTGGTTGGAACGATTTCATGCAGAAGAGAGAGGTTGATAACAATGGTGATCCAAGGTATGAGCTGGATTTTAAACTTCTTAAGTAGATGTGTTGGAATTGGATAGCGCTTCTATGATTATTTTGTTAATTTCATCTGTGGTCGCGGACGTGAAGTTCCAGAGTGTTGCTGATGTTGAGAAGAAGTTGCTACATGTCTCTGTCAGTTGACTAGTAGTAGAATGAATAGGTAATGATGATGATTTATTGGTGGTGATATTTGATGTGAACCTAAACAGTAGTATTTAGACTTTGCATTGCTAACTAGCTTATTAACAGTACAACATTGAGATTGGTAAAATTGTCTATGAATTTTAAGTTTGGTTGAACGCCAGGTATTCTCAAGCGAGCGACGAAGTTGTTCATACATGTTCATTTCATACATGGTGCATGTTTGTTTAGAGATCTCCTAAGGCAAGAGTTATAATGTGAAATTGCTTTGTTTACATCTGTTAGGGGTTCCTTCTGTAATACTGTTTCAATTTCTTTGGCAAATTCTTCTGTGACAATAGCTTGAATGCGACGATAAGTTATTTCTTTTTGTACAAATGGAGGCTTGGGTAATACAAGTTCTATGCAAATAGGAAAATGGTCAGAGACATAGGTAGATGTTATCAATGACAACTGAACGAATGATATCACTGGATGCATGTCCCTATCTGCAATAGTACTTATTACATTACAGTTATGCATATTAGGAAACACATATGAAACTAATAACAGGTAATTAATATACAAGGATTTCAAGCCTAAAGTAATCAGATCTGTGGATTATTTAAAATCTCCTATGTACCTAGTTTCATTAAAATGTGATCAGTGGTACTCAAGATAATTGTGGAGTACCTATATATTGGTTAACTTATGCAAATTAGGTAATTAGTATGCACAAAATTTAATCCTAAACTGCACATATATATGGCTTATCCTTAAGCGTTTACATGTATACATGTATGTATCAAGTTTTTTTTTAAATCTGTTTAATGGTTCTTGGAGAAAAAGTAAAAATTGAATAATACAAATTAGGTAATTAGTATGCACAGGATTTCAATCAAAACTAATCAGTACTGTGCATTATCCCACAGCATCTATGCAACAAGCAAGTTAAAATGCTTAAATTAAATTTTGGTAATAAATATGCTAATTACGGATTTCAACCAAAACCTAATCAGGTCTGCGCATTGTCCCAGAGCATCTAAGTACCAAATTTCAATGAAACCTGAATAATAGTACAGAGAAACAAGGAAAACAATTGAGAATGCTTAACATTCGTTAATCAATATGCAAATTAGGTAATTAATATGCACAGATTTCAACCAAAAGCTAATCAGGTCCGAGTATTATTCAAGAGCATCTATGTACAAAGTTTCATTAAAATCTGTTTGATAGCACATGAGAAACAAAAGAAAATGGTTGATTAATAAGCAAATTAGATATTAATATGCACAGATTTAAACCAAAAACTAATCAGTTCTGAGCATTGTCCCAGAGCACCTATGTACCAAGTTTCAATAAAATATGATGATTGGTTCTTGAGATATGTGTGGAACACACACAGAGACACACACACAGACGAACTAACCTGCAAAGACTCCTATTGTGTGCTTCACACATGAATCAAAAATTTAGTACTGTAAATGCATTAATAAGTCACTGGGTTTTAATTTCGCTATTTTTGCTGATAAGTAAAATCCACTAAATTAAATCTATGTGAACATGTAAAATAACAATAAAACTCATTGTTTCCTCGACAAATTCATGATATTAACACACAATGAACATGCTCAAAACATCAAAATTATAGTGCAATTGAATATCAGTGAAAATAAATGGTTTTATTACAGTAGTTTGAACATAAATTAAATAATGTAAATTAATGCAAATACACTTTGATACATCCATTATTTGGTGAACATATCCATTATTTTCAAAACATATTCCAATGACTATTAAGTGAAATACCTGACTTGAGAGCATCTGGGTCCACTTTGGGTTCTGCTGGGATTGACAATATTCCTAACAAAGGAACCTCTCTCTCTGTTTTTCTGTCATCCACAGCAGTATCAAACCATCTACACAATATAAAAACATAATATTAACTCAAAAATTTACATAAAATTAGTATCATAATGAAAATGAACAAGTCATTGTTAATGACACAGTCCCCGTCCAAAATTTTGTGATCTGACATATCAATTTGATGCTGATGAAGTCATTGAGATTAGATTGAAACCATTAATAGGAGATGGATTTGTAAAAAAATATGATTTAGTGCTTTTCCACAAGAATTGAACATTGGGCAGTCATATTGAATCAAATTACAAAAATAATGTTCATGTATCTATTGGTATACTGTCTTTGTACAAAATTTGAACAGAAATGTTCATTGCATTCATGGAAAAGGAGACCGGGGAATCGTGAAAAACAAAATGGCCACCAGTCAGCCATATTAATTTGAATCAGAGAAAAAAAATGACTTGCAACTATTACCCAATATGTATGATCAGCATACCAACTTTGATCCAAATTGGCCCAGTCATCTCTGAGAAACAGCTCCGGACATGCAAAAATTACGATTTAGCACTTTTACATGAAAATTGGGCATTGGCCGGCCATACTGAATCGAATCACAAAAATAATGTTGGTGCGCATGTATCCTTGGTATACTATCCTTGTACAAAATTTAAAGAGAAACGTTCATTGCATTCAAGAGAAAGTAGTAGGGTACCATGAAAAACAAGATGGTCGCCAGTCGGCCATATTTGTTCGAATCACGAAAAAAAAAATGACGCGCACCTACAACCTAATATGTATGAGAGGTATCAGAAATAGTAAATTTTACATCCAAAATGGCTGCCAGTCGGCCATTTTTGCTCCGATCATAAAGTAACTTGACGTGCATATATGTAAGACATTATGTTTTGTCTTCATGTGAAGTTTGAATGAAATCCGTCAATGGGTATCCGAGATATAGCTCCGGACGGACGGACGGACGTACAGACGTACGGACGGAATCAGCCCAAATTAATAGTCCCCATTTTGGGACTTTGTCTGAACGGGAACTAATATATATCCATTC